ATAAGAGGTTCCGTGGAGCAGTACATGGCATTGAGCTCACACAAGTCAGCGTCTGGGATAGGTTTTTGCACCCCATGGATTATCATTTTTTTAGCTGAACGGACTCAGTGCAATACAGCAATCGGGAAATTCCACTCGACTTTTGTTGTGTAGCGTGAGGTGGTGTTCCTTCCTTGTGGCCATCTAAAAATAAAACGTTTATAATTATAGATAGAAAGATATCTCAACATGGATCCTTTTGGGATTTCTGAGTTTGACGACTTGAGTTCGACGCCGACAGATACGACGACGACGACAAAATCAGCTCTGGACGAGTTTGACGTCATTTTCGGAACGGGCTCGGTTCCCAGTGGTGGGGGCGGTGCTGCTGGGTCTTCCGCTTCCTCCGAGCCGCCCAAGTTGTCGGAGACCAAGGGACATAACCTCCTGTTCAGTCTCGACGAGGGAGATAGCTCCACGACTTCCGGGGCGTTTCCCGCGTCTTCCTCGTCGTCGGCGGACACTGCCGCTACAGCAGTTGACCTATTTTCTGGCCTGGACGAAGCGAGGCGGGCTGAAGACAGCGTGACTACCCGGGATCTCTTCGACGATCTACTCGATTTTACGCCGTCTTCTGGACCAGGTACTCAGGCTTTCGGGGATGGTCAGGTGAGTACAGGCCAGGTGTAGGTAGATAGATGTAGAACTACAACAATATAACTGACCTCAAGACACTTTACTTAGTCTACACGAATTTTTCCATTTAGCTCGATTCTATCGGAGATGGACGTTGTCTTTGGAGATTCCGTCTCTTAAATAACCGTATGGTGCTCTAAGGACGCTGAACCTCCTCAAATTAAGTAACTGATGGCTGTGGTATTATGATTACAACTTAATTTTTTTCTACTTTGCATGTGAAAGTCGTGGATGGTTGGCGGGTGCTCTGGTGTGGTTTGCTCCTTCTTTCCTATCAAATATCTACCGACCTGATCTCTCCTCCTCCTTTTTGTGTTTGCTTCTCTCTTGTAACAGCTCTAATTTTCGGCACTTATATGACCTTATTGTGTTGCAAGTGCCGTAAAACTCTTACTATAACTAAAGCATGTGAAGGTCGCAAGTTCTAAAACACCCATAAAGGATTCGAACCAGGACCATCCACACTATAGTCCAGCATAATAGCATTTGTGTGAGCGGAACACCCTTTCTTTCTGGAACACACCTTGACGTGAAGGCTTTTGTGTGTATTAACTCATACTTTAATAACCGTGAAGTTGTTTCACTAACAATTGTACAATAACAATATCTTGTTGCACACTTGTTTTGACTTTCTCATGCCTGCCAAGTGCCAAGTGCTGAAATTATAACAATTGTGGTATTGTATTTCTTTTTGTGTATGTTGGCAATTAAATTTTTAAGTACAGGCTGAGCAAAAACTACAGCAACAACAAAAACTGTAAGAAAAATAACAAAAAACAATAACAAAACAGCAACAGCAATAACAACGAGAGCAACAACAATAACAACTAGAGCAACAACAACAATTTTATAATTTTATTTTAGGGGGGGGGGGGGTTTGCAACGTTGTGCTTAAGCTTAATAATAATTTGTCAGCTGTCAATCTTCGTCTTTTTGAGCAAAGACTGTTTTGTTTTGGAACACTTGTTGAATTTTTTAAAGTATCGATTTTTTCATGATGTTTCAGAGCTAATCGTGTTCGTGTATCTCCGACTTTTTATCGT